CGTTCAGTTATCAGCAGAAATCACCACCTTGAACAAATACTCCATGGCCAGTGCAGGACATTCAGCTGCAGTTGAGAACCCAGCAGTTCAAGGTGCTTCACTTTGCCTTTCTGAATGTCTCAAAGTCACCCTGAAAGAAAAGTGCAAAGCTTAATTCAGCTTTGTATTTAGCAAAGAAAAGTTACAGACCGAGTTCAGAAATTCTTTTCTATGTCATTCATAATGGCAGCCATCCTATAAAGCAATCCTGTTCTGACCAGGCTGTTAAAATCTGTACATTTATTTGTTCTTCCACGATTTCTGTCTATAAACAGAACAAGCATTAAGTGTTGTTCTTCTGTTTCCTGCTGACATGAGCTGTAATTCCTCAATATTTCTCCTCTGACGAACTGAAATACAGCATCAGTCTCAGGATGTGACTCCTGAAATGAAACTGAGCAGGATGTAAAGGTTAAAAAACCAGAATCAAACAATTTAAATTAAAAATTGACTCTTATCAACACCCTTACAATAACAGGGTCACCAACCACTGTATATTGCTTTTTCAATTTTTTTTTTCCTTATTAAGAGAAGTTAATTAATTATCTACAGATTATTGAAACCAGAACTACTGAAAATCAATGGAGAGACAAGTTACAAATTTGCCTAGGATGAAAACCAGGATAAATTTCCATTTGCCTGCTTAAAAGTATCTGAAAAGATTTAGGGACAATCCAGAATTCATATTTTATATAAAGTATGCTCATGCTAGGAAAAACAAGGATCCATAATCAACCCATAAATTGGATTTTCTTCACAAAAAACCCACTGTGAATGTTTGGACTCAGCATCATTAAAGATAATCTGAGTATTATCTTTATTATACAAATCAATTTATATAATATTTCTAATCCATGCTGCCATGCACTGCAAGCTTTTCCTCATCCACTCCCAAATTAGCAGTTTAGAGTGATTATTAAATTAAAAAAAAACAAACAAACAAAACCCAAAAAATCAAGCCAAATCAAAACAAAATTTAAAAAAACCCCAAAACCAACAAAGAAGCCCCACAAAAACCTCACCACACAGACACCCCTCGTTTCTTTTTTTTTTTTTTTTTTTCTGTCACTGAAGAGGAATTTTTTTTTTTTTTTCATTTTGATCAAAATTTCTCTCCTGCGACTGGACTAAAAATCAACAAAGATACAGAATTTGAAAAATAAAGTCCTAATGCCCATGATGCATTTAACGAGAGCACCAGAAAATTCCCATCCCTAAATAAAAATATCCTTACATACAAACGGGCACACAGCTAATTTTGGGTGCTAATAAAGAGCACAGGGTGGTGACATCACAGCTCTGCTTTCATAAGGAAGAATTGGACCCAAAGTTATGAAAATAAATTAAGAATAATGCATTTAGATCGAGTGATAAAGTTTTATTTGATGGGGTTTTTTTCTTTGTGGTATCAAATGTTTTTTGACGTTAGTTTTCACACCTTTGAATAAATCATCTTTACATATTGTCTGTTTCTGGATATAACTATAATAGCCATGATTTTTTTTTTCTCAGTTGGCTTTCTGCTTTGTCTGTCACAAAAACAAAAAAACAAAAAAACAAACAAAACAAAAAAAAACAAACAAAAAAACAAACAAAAAAAAACAAACCAAAACCAAACAAACAAAAAAAACCCCCAAGACACCAAAGCCAAAAATCCCAAACCAAAACACAACAAAAATAAAAAACAAACAAAAAAAACCCCCAAAAAACAAACAAAAATAAAAAACAAACCAAAAAACCCCCCAAAAAACAAACAAAAAATTCCATTAAAAAGTCCTTGCCACTCGACTGATCTATTTTTCAAGTAAAATATTTGACATCTTTTATCAAATCCACATTTCATTTAGTCCAAAAGAGAAGTTAGCAGGCTGAGATTGCAGTGGGTCTGATGGGTAAAGAAAATAAAAGATATATTAGAAAAAAAAAAAAAAAATGGGTAACAACAGTTCTGGTAGCTCAGAGAAAGCCAGAATTGTGACACTAAAATTATTAATTGCAGAAATTCTGTAGTCTTTATAAGTTTTTCTTTGACCACAATTTCATTGCATTTCTTTTCATGTTCCACATCCCCTTGGAAAAACACCAAAAATTTTCCCCTTTGCAATCTACAGCACAAACTTGTTCATCCTGGTTAAAAAACTTTGGTTCCTTTCTTGAAGGATTTTTTTTTTTCTTCGTTATTAAAATAAAACCCCAAAAATCTCTCAGAACCTTGGATAGCCTAAATGAATTTAGAATTGTTTTTATAAAATCTGAAGGGGCAGAAACTGATGGACAGGAAAATCCACTTGAAGAGGAAGAACTTTTCCAGTGTGACCACAAATTCAGTTGTGTTTATTTTTGGTTTGGTTTTATTTTTTTTTTTTTGTTTGTTTGGGTTTTTATTTTGGGGGTTTTGTTTGTTTGGGTTTTTTTTTAGTTTTTGTTTGTGGGGGTTTTTTTTGGTTTTGGTATTTTTTGGGGGGTTGGTTTTTTTTTTTTGTTTGTTTGGTTTTTTTTGTTGGGTTTTGTTGTTGTTGTTGTTTTTTTTTTTAATTACTTGGCTTGTTCATTCCAGCAATGATTTTTCATTCAGCTGTGGAAACATTGGGGGGTTTTTTTTGTTTGTTTGTTTTTTTTTCAGCTGCAGCTAAACAAGACTGAGGTGATAAAAACATCAGATGGCAAAGAGGGAGGGGGGAACCAAAGAAGCAAAGCAGAGCCCCCTTAGAGCTGCAGATCAGCTACAGAGTAAACTCAATGAGAATCTCACACTGCAGGCTCAAATTAAAACAGAGCCTGGCACCTACACAGCCATGAATGAACAAAATGACCAAAGTAACTCAAACTGGATTTAAATTCAGCTGCACACAAATCACTGAAATATTCACACCTTCCACTGAGAGGCCAACTGCTGATCTCTGTGTGATTCAAACTGAATTTTCTTTTTTTTTTTTTGGTGTTAAAATAAAGGATAACTTTCAATCCTTTGTGACAGACACCCCTAAACCTAAAAAGCACTGGAGGAGCCACGTGTGAACTCATCGAGAAAAAGATCAGACAGTTCTGAGCTTGGCTGCTCATCTTCTCTGTAAAAAATCAAGATTAAAAAAAATTAAAAAACCATTTAAAAAACCCACTGCAGCCTGTTGCCCAGGAGCTGTTTCTGATTACACAATAGGGAAATATGGAATTGCTTTCCTCAAACTCTGTTCTGAATTACAGCACCTATTCAATGGACAATGATCAGAGAAAGGAAAACTGCTGCTTATTTACTGAGGATCTTAAAATCCTGGATGAGAAACTCAGCCAAATCCAAACAAACCATTCAACCTTGCAATATTTATCTGCATTGTTTTCTGCACGTGCTGGAGCTGAATTCTCAGCTGAGATCAGAACCTTGTTTGGTTAAAGCAATGGAAAAAAATTCTGCTCTGGACAATCTCCTCCCAATTCACAAAGGACACAATTCAGTTCCCTTTAAATTGGTTATAAACAGCAAAACCAAAATAAACTACTCTCGAAACCCAAGGCAGCTCCCCCCTGGGGGTGTGTGCTCTCTAAAAACATCCATTTATTTCATTTCTTTCGATGCTATCAGTGGCACCTCAGCCCGGGGCAAAAGCTCTGGTTGCTGTGTGGAATCATTGCTCAGGCTCCTGTGATTCAGGATAAAGCACTTCAGGAAATCTCTTGTTTAATTTGCTTTATATTGCAGTGATGAATATTGCTCAAACGCTTTTCTTGTTTGATAATCATTGAAAAATTAATGACCAACATATCAATAATCATTTACTATGCACTACATCATCTTTTTTTTTTTTTTTCCCAAGGAAGGTAGGAATGCAATACAACAGAAGCAGTTTTTCCAAAATATTTGGATATTCAAGATACAACCTGTGTATACTTTGACCATTTACTGTGGAAAACTCTATTCCATCATTGCCTCTTTAACCCTGTCTTGTAATGTGTTATTTTCTGTCTGGAGGCATCAACTTTATATGAAATATATATTTTAAAACTACCTGAAAGGGAACAACCACAAAAGTTGTAAAAAGATTGCATCATCAAGAATTTCCTTATTCTAAAGCAGATTTGTGTTCAAAATGCAAGATCCAATTTTATAAATGCTTACCTTTGAAATAATTATGCATGTAGACACTCAGATTAGAAAGGGACAACTAAATTTTAGGGTAAAATAAAACTGAGATTTTATACCAGGCCATGAAAAGTTCCATTTCTAAACTCTCCCAATTCTTTGAGATTAAAACTCAAAAAATGTAACACTGATTACTATATTTATGCTGAGCTAATCTGTACTTATGAAAAATTAATCCTGCACTAAAAATTAGAAATCATTAAGAGAGGAAGATTTCACAGACTTGGAAGCAAAACTATTTGTTCCTCACATGTTCAGTCTGTGAACAAACACACACTTAGATGGAGAAGGGAAAAAAAAACCAAAAAAAAAAACCATTTTGGGATATTTTAAAGACCTCTAGCAAGGAGAAACAAGCAATACCCATAAGGACAAGCTCCCATTTAATGCCAGCAAAGAAGAAGAAAAAAATTTCAGCTCAAACTTTTAAAACATTCTGGTAGGGCATGGTATCAGCTAGGACAGGAATAAATATGTGTTAGGCATCATGGATTTATAAAAGTAGAATTAAAATTGTTTTCCCCCTGCACATCCAGGGTTCTGGGCATGTCTGGAATGTAAGAACAACCAGAGAGATGCTGCCAGCTTTTTCACACAGCTTGTAAACAACATTTCTTTAATAATTTTTAATGTTTAACTAACCAGCTAGAGGGATCAAGAGGTCAATTAATGATGACTTTATCTGAAAATGGAAAATTACCTTTTGGTACACAACAAAACCACATTGTGGCTATCAAAACCACCGTGGCATTATTATCCTCACAGATAAGAGGGAGAATATTTCCTCTAGAACAAGAATATTTTTTTTTCCCCCCCTTTAAGCAGAGCACAGAGAGTGGACCAGAGGATCTCCAGAGGTTCCTGCCAATCCTCACCATTTTGATTCTGCAACGTGCTCTCAGTCTAATTCTTTTGGCTGTCACACACAAAAATCAAAATGTATAAATTTCATGGAACTTTTTTTTTTTTTTTTTTAATGAATACTTAAAGCATAATCGCATCTTCTTTATGGGTCTTCTGCTGGTTTAGTCTCATTAAAATTCATTCTTCTGAACGTGCAGTGCAGAGAAAAGGCTGCTAACATGTCACAATAAACCAACTGTCTGAAACCCTGCAGAAGGGGAAAAAAAAAAAAAAAAAGTAACATTTGCCTTGTACCTTGTAGTTTATGAGAGAAGATATCTAGAAGCAGCTGTAAAATAGTCATAAAATAAAATTGGAATTTATATCAAAATCACTCTTAATACCTTGGGGCTTTTCTATCTCTGCATAGTTTACCCTGAGAGATTTAATGGTGGAGTTTTATGTTAAGGGGCTGAAAGTTATAGTGGAGTTGTCAGTAATGCTGCCTCTTCTGGCTGTGCCTGCCTATATATCAGTCTATTTATTTTTAAATAGCAAGATACCAACCCCCAGAAGGTGCAAAATGAAAATGCCATTGGCAACAGCTGAGAAGTTACACACTTGTTAAGCACCCTTAATGAAAATGCTGCTGAATGCAGGCATCTTTAGATTTTGTTGTTGTTGTTTGTGGGTTTGTATTTTTTGATATTTTTTTTTGCAATAAAGTTTGGGTTTTTTTAATGAGGGTCACGAGGGGCAAGATGAACTTGCACACCACCTTTCCCAACTTCCTCTGTCAAAAGGTATTTCTTTAAAAGAGCAAAAAAACCAACAAAACGAAGCAGCATGAGAAACTGCAATAAAATTCCCACACATTGTGAATAAATGATGGGGTCTGGGGCAGTTATTATAAAGATAATGTTGACCTGAAGTCCTTGTCTAAGATAAGGAAGATGTGTATGTGTATATATATGTGATAAGAAAAGTGCAAGAAATAGGTTTATCAAAGTTGAAGGACTCACCAGAAAATTTATGGGAAATGCAAACATCTCACTCTAGGTCCTGCCTCGTGAGGAATAATAGCCCTAATGTTTTACAGCTAGGGAATAAAAAAAAAAAAAAACCACATAAAATGTAATGTTGGTTTGACATCCAAACTATGAGAAATTACTTTCACATTCAGACACGATGCTGAAGTTTCACAAGAAAAGTTTGCACAGCTTTACAATCCTGTCAGCCGAGTCTCAAGCCCAGCCTCAATATTTATCAAGCCCAGCTTTTATCTTTTCTCTGCAAGCTTGTAAAAATGTGTCATTGCAGAACTCAATTAAGGTTCCTGTTCCCAGATGCTCCAGAATCCCAACCCAGCAATCTGTACAGTTAACTTTCAGTTAAGGAGATTCTCAGCAATAAAATGAACGTGAACTGGCACAGCCAAAGTACAGTCTGAAATTATTTCTTATTTGTAAAACAAAACGAGGTGCAAATGTTGAAAGTATTTCCATTTCTTTGATTACTACTTTGTGTAGTGATGTATAACACAGATCAGTGGAGAAGACTGAAACGAAGTAAGGAACAAAGGAAAATAAAACCCAATTACCCACAGTTGTTTACAGTATGAATTGTCAGGCATCTTCTTTTGATTAGAAAGACAAGATGGAAAGAATCTCATTGCAGCTTCATGAACATCAGAAATGGAGAATTCTGCACAAACAGATAATGAGCTACCAAATCTCAACAATTCACCTGCTCCAGGGCAGGGCTGCTGCTGCTCCCTCCATGGGAACGGAGCCCTCTCAAGCTGAGCCAGCTTAGTTAGTCCAGACCAAGGTGAGCACTTGGCTGTGCTGGGCTCACACCAACACTCCAGAATATGGGACCTGCCTCAGCCCAGAGCTCCTCCCTTTCCTGCACATATTTACCTTCATGAACTGGCAAAACTCGCATCTAATTCTGCCTCTTTATTTCCAGTCTTGCCTTTAAATCTCGACTTAAGGCCACTTGAGATGTTTTGGCTCTCCTTACAGCAGGCATGAAGATTCACTTTGTGGTTGTACCAGCTCTACTTGTGAAAATTGCAAGTAATTAAAGAGCTACTGGGTTTGTTGAGGTTTTTTTTTTAAGTATTTCTTGTTAGGAGAAAGAGGAAGAAGCAGAAAAGGGAGCTACAGCAGCAGCTGGGAGCAGAGTGCCAATGTTTGCTGCCACATCTTTGAGCTCCACTGAGAGCCCTAGAATGGTTTGGGACCCTAAAGATCATTTTTCTCCCAGCCCCATGCCAGGGCAGGGACATTTCCAACCATCCCAGGCTACTCCAAGCCCCATCCAACCTGGCCTTGGAAGATGTGAAGGAATCACCAACAGTGCTGGGAAAAGCAGCTCAGCCTGTGCCAGGCATGGCCATGCAAAATCTCAGTTTTTTGTTTTTTTTATTTTTGATATGTCTGTAGCTCTATCTAGAGCAGCAAGCATTGCTAGTGCAGGAAATATCTTAGAAGCCCAGAGATGTAATAATTAGGGCTGATAGAAGACTTGATCAGGGAGAGCTGTAATCAAATATTTTACTATACTGGGCCTCACTTGGGGTCTTTAAACGCTGTGTGAAATGATGACAGAGCTCCAGGCAGTTTAAGAAATAAAGCAAGAACAAAACCTGCACGGATTTCTTTGCAAGAGATTAATTTCCACCGGGAGCAGCAAGGCTGGGTTTGAGTTCTCCTAATCCTCTTGAGCCATTACATGCCTTTAATGAAGTGTGGACAAAGCCAGGCAGTGCTTAAGAAGCCACAGAAAAGACTTTGTAAAACACTTTCAGGTCCACAGAGGATGGCACATTTCTTGTTAGAGCAAATAGGTTTAAAAACTCTGAAAAATTAATCAAATCTAAATAGGATTTTATATTTGCCACGAGCAAAAATTTTAATGATTTTGGCTTGGTAACATGGTGACCAGGACTAACCTTAGCTAGGATTTGATGAAGCCTAATAACCCAGGATTTGCAGTTATTTGGTTATTTGGGACCAAAGCCAGCTAAATTATCTATTCCTAGGGATAAAAGTGCATTTGGTACCAGTTGACTGTTACCACCTATGCATGACACCTGCTTCACAGCTTTAAAAAAATAATATTAAAAAAAAAAATTCAATAAAAGGAAAAAAAGCTGTTAAGTAAGGAAATCTGATCTCAGCATGTGCACTAAACAATACAAAATTTTGTTTAAAAAATCTGTTTATTTTATGATGAGCTAACTCTCTATGAAAATACGTTGGGGGGATTGGAGCAAAAGTAATAACTTTTGGCAAAAAGAAGTTTCTGTTGGTTTCAGAACAAGCAGAATATGTAAGGTAAAAACATAATCACGGTGGAGAGAAGCTGGATGATACCAGTCTTATTTTAGGACTAAATTAGCAAGGAAAATGTAAGCATCATTCTCCAGTGCCTAAACAGTGAGGAATCCCTGCCACCCAAAAAATCCTGAGCTGGGATCAGAGTGCTCAGGCTCTCAGGGCAAGGAACTCACAACAAGAGTTACAGAAGTATGTAAATATAAACATAGTGAAAATACATATAAAAAATACAAATACATATTAAAAAATACCTGGCCAGTTACACCACAGCCAGTGCAGTCAAACTACTAAAAAAAAAAATTAAAAAAAAAATATATATATAAAAAAACCCCTGGCCAGTTACACCACAGCCAGTGCAGTCAAACTACGAAAAAATAAAATAAATAAATAAATATATATATAAAAAAAAACCCCTGTCCAGTTACACCACAGCCAGTGCAGTCAAACTACTAAAAAATAAAATAAATAAATAAATATATATATATATAAAAAAAACCCCTGTCCAGTTACACCACAGCCAGTGCAGTCAAACTACTAAAAAATAAAATAAATAAATAAATAAATAAAAAAAAAAAAACCCTGTCCAGTTACACCACAGCCAGTGCAGTCAACTATTAAAAAATATAAAAAATAATAAAATATGTATTAAAAAAACCCCTGTCCAGTTACACCACAGCCAGTGCAGTCAAACTATTAAAAAAATATATAAAAAATATATTTTAAAAATCTATTATAATAGATGTAAAAATCTATAAAAATATATAAAAATTATATTAAAATATATTAAAAATATATAAATATAAATAAAATAAAAAAATATATATTAAAATATATTTAAAAATATATAAAAAAAATACCTGGCCAGTTACACCACAGCCAGTGCAGACAAACTTTTAGCTTCGTAAGTAATTAGGCATCCAAGTCCACACTAATAGAAAACCAAATATTTCCTCTCCAGGACCGAGTTGCTTTTCCCCCCTCACCAGAGGGGTGAGATAAACAAAGTCATGCTCAAGCTGAGCTGCACCTCATTCCTCAGGAAATCACTGAGGCCACCCAAAAAAACCCCAAAAAACAAAAACAAAACAAACAAACAAAAAAAACCCCAAAAAACAAAAAACCCCAAACCACAGGACTTTATAATGCACCAAGGGCTTAAATCTGAAAATCACCTCCAAATACGTTGTTATCAACCGAGTTCATCGGGCAGGAATTTAATTTAATTTAATTTAATTAATTAATTAGCTATTTGCCAAGAGCACAGGAGATGAAAAAACCTCGTGGGCTGGGAACAAGGCGGGGCAAAAAACGGAACATTTTTAACGAGACACATAAAAGATGAAGAGAACGAGCAGAGACAATTTAGGCAGGAGATGGGGAAAAAGGAACCTCCAGAACACGACATTTTATAAGCAGGATTTGGGTGGGGAACGATATTTTTCTCTTCTAATGAATCCAGTTGGGGGGGAACCTTGAAAATCAATCACAAGTGTTCAAGTGTTCTTGATCTAAAGAACAAGAATTAACATATTTGGATCGGAAGAAGTTGTTGAAACTCCATTAATTTCAACGGAGATGCAAAATTGGCCTTTTTTCCTGTAATCTTCTGCATCAACATGAAAGAAAAAGCATAAACCATTAAGCGTTCAACTGCCTTTGTATTTTATTTCTTTTTATGAGGCTCCTAGCAGGGCATTAACAGCAGATTACACCTTTTGTGAGCCATCTAACAGGATATTAACGACAGGAGGGTGCCCAAGAAATAAAATTCTTGTTATTACTACTATTTATAGCTGGCTTGTCAGTACCAAGCAATAAAAGTTTAACATTTGGAAAGTCAGGAGCTACCCCCCAGCACTCTGCATTTCTTCAACAGCATTAGGTTTTTTTTTCAGCCCAACTTGAACACAGCTAAAACTTCGTTTCAGCACCTCAATTTGTTTTTATTTTTAATTTTTAATGTAATTTTTAAAGATGCACAGCAGAGATATGAAGGCTGCAATAGATTTCCTAATATAATAATAATATTCCTAATATAATAATATAATAATAACCTGCAATAGCCAGTGCAGGCACAGCCTAACCCAGAACAGCTACAAGTGGGAAGAAAAAAAAACCAGGAGTGAGAATTCACTGTGACAGAAGCACAATTGCATGTGGACTTGGAAAACAAGAATGCAAATATTTCATTCCTAACACTCTTTTTTTCATTTCTGGTGCCTTTCTGCATTCTCATCACTCCTTACATATTATTAGATCATTTCAATATGTCTTGCTGACAATTAGCAGCATTTTTAAGTTCATTACAAAAAGAAAGCCAACTATAAACTTGGAATAAAAGTTGAATTATTTTCTAGAACATCCTATTCAAAAACTCAGTCATTTCCAGCAGAGAAGGCTCCACACCTCAAACTAAATTACAAGTAGCTATACACTGATCCACACCCAGACATAATCTGTATTTTAAGTGTTTCAGCTTTCTAGAATCAGTCTTCAGGTCTGAGTTTTGGGAAAAAAAAAAAATAAAACAACTTTAAAAAAAATGTTCTCCTTGACCCCAACTTTCACTTTTCTTCTATGTCCAAGGTAAAAAGAAATGCAGAAGCTTGACAATGCTCCACCAGCATTTTCAGGGGAGTCATTTTATTTTATTTACAGATTCTGCACAGGAACAAAAGTTCATTTCCCTGCAGAAACATCAGCATTTATCTTGGTCTCAGATTTGTGAAAAGCACATCTTAGTCCTGCAATA